CCTAAAAATGATCAACTTCGGAATCTGCAAAACTCAGAACTAAGGAGACAATCTTCCTTCCCAAGAAACCTGCAAAACAAGGTTAGTACTTTGACGAACAAGTCAATCTTAGTCCGAACTAAGCTCTAAGTACAAATGGATTCACGTATCTTGAATAAGAAGCAGGCATCCCTATTTATAGGGATGAGTCCGACAGGGCCTTTGATAGCAGCGTAATGGTCATTCGACCGCCCGTGAAACGCGGCGTGTTGTCGGAGTGAAGCGTTGCTAACGCCCCTGCAAATATCTCTAGTCAGGTCGGCTCGAACCTCTGTCAAGTCGGCCAAATAAGGTGTCTGAGATCATCTCGAATCAGGTATACCGAGCTAGACAAACTTTTAAAAATCATAATTAGTTTAAATTGGAATATTTATTAAATTGTCGACACTTAGCGAGTGATAAATAGCCTCCTAACACATATTTTACTAATAATAATAGTTATTTTTAATCATATAAATTTAAAGCACATATTAATTTTATTTATTATAATATATAATAAAGTAAAAGATACAACCTGCTCAAAGTTATTGGAATGTGATTTTTCATAAAACAAAATATGTCATTGAATTTCTTTTTATTGTAACTTAATATATTAAAAGAGCTAAATTAGATCATTAAATTACTATTTAATCAATAATTTTTTAATATAAGTCCAAACAATTTGAGTAATTCAATCCAAATGTTTAATAGTATCGGTGACACACATAACTAAGGTTATTTAGATTTGCTACGGGTCCATCAGTAACATTTTTATTTTTCGTCTTTGGTTTCCACTTCAGGAAAAATATAAATGTTTGATATTTGTTTTTATTTATTATTTATCGTTTTTTACTAAACATTTCCACAACAAAATCATATTTCTTATTTTTTTTTGTTCTCATTTCTATTTTTTTTCCAAACATAAATAAAAGTGTGTTTTATCATTGTTATAAAATGCATAATAAATATTATAATATACAATATTTGAGAGAACCGTGAAATAAAAAAGGGGCAACTTGAGATATGGCAAAAAAGTTAGGAAAATAATCAAAATAGCAACAAGATTTTGGTTTTTCAAATATATAGCATTTTTTTTGCAAAAAAAACGGAGGCCCACATTCTAAATTACAAGTATACCCTGCAGGTCCGAACCAACAATAAATTACTTCTGATTGACTTCCGATATATTAATGATTGACAGATATACTCTTGATATATATGTGATATATGTTTGATATACATATAGTATGAAATTGATTTACTTCTGATATAACTATGATATCTACTACTATAGGTGACATAGAATTTATTGACTTCTAATATACTATTGATTTACTTATGATATAACTATGATTGACAGATATACTCCTGATATATATGTGATATATGTTTGATATACATATGTTATGAAATTGATTTACTTCTGATATAACTATGATATCTACTACTATAGGTGATATAGAACTGATGGACTTCTGATATACTATTGATTTACTTCTGATATGACTATGATTGACATATATACTATTGATATATATGTGATATATGTTTGATATACATATGATATGAAATTGATTTACTTCTGATATAACTATGATATCTACCAATTATTTCGAACATATTACCGCTAATATATGTTTTCTGATATATTACTAATATGTGAAATAAATTATTTTTTTTCAGATAAAAGCAATGGTACAAACACGAAAAATGAAATAAAAAAACATCGTCAAAAATGTTGATGTCGTTCGTCCCAAAAGACAACATAAACCAACGCCAAAAATGTTGTCTATGGAAAAACAGAAAGCTTCAAAGATATTATCTCCGAAGACACGACAATCACCAAGAACGAAGATTGATGTCCCAATCTTTTACCTAAAGATTATACAAGAATGAAACTTACGTTTTTCTAGACTGTTGGAACTTATGTTTTTGGAACTTATGCTTCTTCTTTTATAGAATTTTAAGAATGACATTGTTAGTGTACTTTTGGTTTATGCTACTGGTTCGTTTTGATGTTAAAACCTTTAAGTTTTGTGGTCAAAGGATTTTGCTGCTCATTTGATGTTGATGTTGATACTCAAGAATGATGTTTAAACCTTTTAAGAATGACATTGTTGCTAATTTCATTTTGATCTTTAAAACTTTAAATAAAATTTAATTGTACTATTGATATATGTACGATGTATACTTGATATATCACTGATATATTATTGATATACAGAAAAACCCTAAATTTCTATTTACCTCTAATTTCTAATTGATTTCTCATTCACAATAATTTCTAAAATCACCATTGACGTTCACATTCACATTCCTTTCAAGTTTTCTTTCTCATTTTCAGTAAGTATCAAAACTTTTTCTCATTTTCCATGCATGTCAATACCTACTAATTTCTAATTGATCAAAAAAATACAAGACAAATGGTTAAAGTATGTAAAATAGTGATTTACTATTATACAACTGATATAGAACTGATTGACTTCTGATATACTATTGATTTACTTCTGATACACTAATTTTGTCAGATGTATTCCTGATATATATGTGATATATGTTTGATATATAATAACGAAGCGATAACTGAAAATGGTAATTTGGGAATACATAAAATTTTAAAATCAAGATTTAAAAAAAATGCTATATCTGAAAATATGACATGCTATTTTGTTAAATATAGAAAACTTATATGTTGCCCATTACAAATCCCCAATAAAAAAATGTCACCAAATATGTTTTTCTTTCTTTTTCCAATAAAATAAACAAGAAACAAAAAATAATAACTAAATGCAATTTTAATTTTATTTATTAGAAAATAAGAAACGCTAAACGATAAACAATAACGTTAAATAGGCTATAAATTATCATTCTAAAAACTTAGATGAGTAAAAAAAAAAAGGTCTATTAGCCAACACAAACCCTTCTAATAGTGTGCTTGTGTGAGAAAGAGAGAAAAAATTAAAAGGAAAAACTAAATTTAATTTAATGCAAATTTCGCAAAACTTTTTTTTTCTTCAGAAAATGGGAAAATTTAATCAAGAAAAAAATGAGACATAACCTACCTGATTTGAATCTTCTACTACAATGGACATAAGCCAAGGAGGAAAGTTATCGGAAAACCAAAAAGATGTACGGTGAGAAAAATATGCATAGAAAACTTAAGAAACAATCTGAACCCAACAGTAACGTTGTTTCTTTAAGACAATTTTAGTTCTCAAGGCTTCACAAACAATTGTCCCCTAGGATAGAATAGATTACCAATCTGTGAATGCAGCATTTCACGTACATGACTCAACGAACTTTAGTATTTAAGTAATGGGAAAAAAAGAGAATTTTGAAGGATGATTTTTCTATGTTGCAAAGCTGGAAAAACTATATATTTATAAACTATTTGTGGTCATTCAAATAATCCTATCTTTTCTAATAAAGTTATGTCTTTGGGTAAAAAGACCTAACATTTACAAAAGGCCCATCGTTTCAAAAGTTGTGATTCTTCATTTTTAAATTAGAATAATTTTATGTAAAAGTTCCAACAAAGCAATGGCTTTCTTTACTAGACAACCAGCTGCCATATTGTGCAAACGTCCTAACATGCAAAAAAAGAAATCGAGCTAAAGGAGTTCAACACAATCATGGATTTCGATAATCCAATTGTTTCCCTTGTCAAAGGAGGTAGATGCATTTGGACTAATTTCATAAGACAGTCATCTGACTCTAAAACTTTCGATGTCATAAAACACGTGAAAATTAATTCCTAAGGTAGGTGGTCATCATGGAGTTTGAATTCAATTTTCTTTCAATTTGTCGATAAATTACATATATTTGCCCATTTGATTCCTTTGAGAACGGCCAAAAGTTCCACCACAAAGGATGGAAAAAGAAGAAACCATGCTCTAACTATTATTATAGTCCCGGCCTCAAATTCCTAACAACAAAAATCAAACTCTAAAAACTTAAAGAAAAAGAAAAGAAAAATTATGCTATTAACTAAGTTAAATTTTCATTGCTGATGATCACATATGGAAAATGATGGCTTCTTTCCAAAGAGTTTACAAAATAGACAAAATTTTTAACAAAATCAACCACGAAGTTCAATTAAAATTTTGTGGGTTTTATAATGTCCCTCTCAAAGGATTGTAAATTTCAATGTTGATGTCTCGAACTGTAGAAATGTCATTAAAAATAACAATAAAATATCGACTTCTTTGAACACTTTTAAAAAAATTATAAATATAAAAAATCCATAACTAATATTTAAATTAATCAATAAACATTTTATTATTTCTATATAATTAAAAAATATTAAAATCAATATTAGGTTCATATTAGTGATATTTTGTTGATATTTTTAAAAATTTTATATTTTTCTCCTTTTTTAATGCTATATAAATATTGTATAAATGTCGATTCATCCTTGGAGTGGACAGGTTGATGAAAATTTAATACCTGGAGAGATTTTTTTTTTCCTTTTCTTTTATATATATTTTAACTTAATTCTTAGTTGGATTCTTCACGGAGTTGTGGTAGGAGTTTCCTTGTGCCAATTGGGCGATGGATGTCTCTTAAAAGTAGTTTCTTCCAACACTCAAAACCCAAAAGCACCTCTCTCTCCCTGTCTCTGTCTCTCTCTCTCTAAATTACACCATAAGGCATAAATAGGCCACGATGGCTACCATTTTTAGAGCAAATAGAGAAGAGGAGAAAGAAAAATTAAAGAGACGTAATTGAGCTTCCAAGAATTGGGGGGTCCCTCCTTTCCAACTCTGTTTCCCTTTCCACCATATCAAAAATCTCTTGCTTCTCCATAGGGGTTTTCAAACTTTCAACCCAAAAACTCTGTTTGTTTCCCGAGAAAATTTCCCCCCTCTCCCCTTCATCCATATCCAAAAAAATCCCATTGATTTGACACCAAAATCTTGCACGAATCATCAACCTCTCTCAAAAATCGCTCTCTTTCTTGCAAGAAATTAAAAGTTATTCACTTTCTTGTAGAAGTTGTCTAGTTTATTGGATTAGTGAATTTAGAATTTGGAGGAAATAGAGAAAAGAGATGAACAAGACAGGGGATTGAGACATGGAACATAGAAGAAAACAAGCTAAAAGCTAAGTTTGATTATGAACTTAATATGTTGTTGTGAAACAATTGTAGCTGCTGGTTTCTTCTTGTTCTTGATGACGATTATTTACTGAAATCTCTGTAACTCCACTCGAGCCTGAGCCAGAGGATGAAGAACAAGAAGGGGAAATATTCAAATCAGTCCCGTTTCTTCTTCTTAGAAACTCGTGAAAAATTGGCTTCAAAATCTTCTTCTTCTTCAAGAAGACGCGGCATAAAACCCAGTCGCAGTTCTGCATCAGCCAAAAATCAGTTCAATTCAATTCAATTCAATTCCAAATGGGTTTTCTGTTTCCATTCCAAAACTCAAAAAAAAAAAAAAATAGAAATTGGAAAGTTGAAGCTGACCAAGGTGGACTGTCCGCCATTAATGGCGCACAGAGGAGCTTCCGGGGCGTGGACAAGGCGGTACTCGTGCATAATCCAATCGGTTCTGAGCCCATTGGGGGCCTTCCCAGTGTAGAAAACGAGCGTCTTCTTGAAACCCACAAGCTGATTTTGGCCGGAAGAAACGATTCTCCGGTCGATTCCGCCGGGCTTCCAGTAGCCGGAGGCGGTGGCTCTAATGGAGGTTCTTCGATTACAGAACTTGGCCTCCTTGGTGCTGAAGAAGTACCTCTCCCGCTCCAATTCCCCTGGAACCCACGAACCAATTTCCAATTTTGAAAACCCCCAAATCAAGAAAAATCAAGAAAATGAATCAATTCTGTCGAACATTAGAGAACTGACCTGGCAAATCCCAGGGATCGAAGCGGCGGACGTCGGCGTCGGGGATGACGGCGGCCGGCAGCGGCGAGGAGAGGGCTCTCCGGCGGAGGTACTGGACGACGAGCTCCTCGTCGGTGGGGTGGAAGCGGAAGCCCGGCGGGAGGCGGAGGACGCCATTGTTGAGGAAGCTCTGATTCTTCTTCTCCATTTGAGGGAGTGAGGAATTGAGAAAATGGAGGGCTGAGATTTATAGTGATGGGTTTGGGAATTGGGAATTGGGAATTGGGAAATTGGAGGAGTGAAATAAAATCCCATTTGGCGTAAATTGGACTCAAACTCCCTTTTTCTTTTAATGCTCTTCTGTTTAACACACAACCTCTATGTCACAAGAAACCAAACACCAAAAACTAAAGGAAACTTTTTTTTTCTTTTCTTCTTTTTGTTTCTAGTTTAGCTTAGGTTTAATTGTAAATTTTGAGTACTTTGTGCGTATGTTTGTGTCTTTTATTTTATCGATACCTATTGTTATCTTAGAGGTCGATGGTTTCATTCCCACTAAGCAGATATAATAAAGTTATTTCAAATCTTGTTTATACATCTCGACTCTTCAAATGTCATTTTAATCTATCAACTTTTGAAAAAATAATTAATTATTTTGATCATAGTCTTTTTTTTCTTTATTTTATCCTTATTATTGGTCGAGAATCTAACCGTAAATAATTTGTAGTATAAACAGTTTTTTCAGTAATAATTAGGATTATATTTGAAACTCTATAAATGTCAATCTCACTCAACCTACGTGGCTTGGATACATGTGTCTATATCAACATGTTAAGATGTATATATAAAGCTACATTATCTCTTTGTTAAACAACTGATAATGGAAGAATAACAAAAATTAAAATATTTCTTTATTTTTACTATAAATATCCAATTATCAAAATAAAATAATCGACATAGGCATAGCTCAAGTGTCGTGTCTTCTTGTCAATCCTAGTTTTGAATCATTTTTTCAACATTTGTGATATAGTATTACATGTAAAAATAATATTATAAATAGAAAAAAACTAATCCTAGCACATAGTCCCTCCCGTTGAAAGGAAAAAAAAAAAAGCAGATTATCGAATTGATATGTTAGTAGCTTCTTACATATAGTTCAAAGGTTTAATCCCTACACTAAATATTGACGTATAAAGTGTATACCATGGCAATACTAGAACTTTTTCCAATTACGTCACATCAATTTAGTCAAAATAAATTTAATAGATATATAAGACGCTGGTGTTTTATTAATGAAATTAAAAAAAGGATCAAACAAATCATAATTTAAAGTTCAAATAAATAACCAAAAGATTGTACGCCTTTAAAAAATAGTTTGATTTATCGGAAAAAGAAAAGAAATCGTGATACGTTGGAGAACATTTTTTTTTAATTGTAAATGAATTCATTCAAAAATTTCAAAATTTTAAAATTTTTTAACAAACTATAAATTATTAATATAAACATAGTTCAACGACATATATTATAGATAAAAAGTTTGGAACTTCAAATCTCTAGATCGACTGGTTGAGCTACGTAGCGAACAAACTATGAGTTTGGAAACTAATTAACATTCCAAATTGGGTGAGAGAAGAGAGACAGAGAGGAAAGGGTACTTTGGTAATTTGGGGGGATGGGGACAGGTTACTGGGAAGAGGTTGGTCATGTCATAGCTGGAGATCACAAGAGAACTTCAATGTGAAAGTACAAAAGTACCCACGTCATTGTGGTTAAGCTTTGTTGGTCCGTGGGGGACACGAATCAAATGGGGCGATCACTGCCTCACTGCTGCCCTCTCTAAGTTTCTCACTCTCTAATTCCAACTGTAATTTATATTCTTTTTTTTTTTCATTTTTATTTTAGTCCATTCTCAATTTAATTTTCAATATTTTAAGATTTTCAATTCTTCCTTTGATGGGTATTTTTCATAAAAAGATGGTTAAAACTTGTTAACACGTTCAATTATTATTTTATTTACATTACATTGGACATCCACATATTTACTTAAATACTACTTGATACAGAAAATCCAATCTCTTCATTGGTAATGTTATGAGAGAAATAAAGCTAAATTCGACGAACAAACTATAGACTTACTTAAGAGGAAGGAAGTCATAAGCAAAGGAGATTCTAGACGGTCAAAAGAAGAATGGAAGCTCAAATTCAAAAGCCGAACAGACAAGCAGTGACGCGGGGCCTGCCCAATCGAGACCCAACGTCGGCCGAGATTAGGTCCCGACCACCGACCATTGGTCAGCCATCTGGTGTCCCGAAGAATGGACCCCGTGCCCAACCAATCAGATTCGGTAGACGGGTCGACGGTCTTTTCTCCTTAATGCCCGCGACGATACTACAGACCAAAGCTCGAACGACTAAGTTTCCTAGAGAGAATGGTATCTGGATTCCTATAGAACTCAACATTAGAGGTACGCCACAAAACTCTACTATTCGCTACACTTCACATGAAAATCCCGATTCTTACTTAAGCATTAGAGTGTGTGTGGCTAGCACCACATCGTTGTATAACTCTTCTATTTTGCACATCTATTGAATCTTTTTTTTTTTTTCATTTTTGAAGATTGGTGCAAATTTGGTAAATCCCGAACAGCCAAATTTTTACATCAGCAAGTAAAATGTGACCGAAAAATTAACAAAATTTAATTTTGTTTTTAGAGTAATATGACACGTGTTCAATATATTAATAAAATAATAATTCGACTATGTTTATGTTAGAAAATTTTTGCAATTATTTTGGAGAATGACCGGATTGAATTTTTTTAATCCATTAGAGTTAAATTGAGAATTTTAAAAATATTAAGAACCAAATAAAAAATATATATATTAAAAGTCATGCCTTATTTTAATGTATTTTCATTAAGAATAATTGTTTTTTTCTTCTCTCTTTCCAAAAAAAAATAAAAAAAATTGTTTTTTCTCCCCCTTCAATATCATCGGGTTGAAACTGATTGTTATAATTTCTTTAAATAATAATAAAAAAGTTTATTCTAAAAAAAAGTTTGAGATATAATATTTGAAGGCGTTAATTACATGAACTTAGGCTTTTATTTATATGAGTATTAAAAAAAACATTATAAGTATCAGGCGAAATTTTTAATATTCCACAAATTACTTATATTAACCAGGAGAATATTATACAATTTTTTTTTTGTGACAAGAATTATACTTGACATGTATATTTAAAAGTGTTGATTAGTATACTACTAACACTGCAGGACAACTGCACGTCCACATCTTTGTTCCATAAATATTTATCATTTAATTTTTCTTTCAATAATTCTAAACATGAATTGAATCATATATTTATATTATATTAGATAATAAAACCCCACTTATTTTTTTCTAAAAAAAAAATATCTCACCCATTAATTACATTAACGAGTGTGGGACTCACCAAAAACATTTTATAAAGTGTACCAAAAGTTATATACCAACTTGAACATAACTCAACTAGTTAAAATATTTATCTCTAATCAAAAGATTGGTGAGTTCGTATTATTATTATTATTATTATTATTATTATTATTATTATTATTATTATTTCCAATGTGAACATAACTCGACTAGTTAATATATATATATATATATATATATATATTATTGACCAAGAGGTTAGAGGTTCGGATCTCACTCGAGATGTTGTTAAACTCAAAATAATAATAAGATATTAGTTAACCTAATTAAACTCATAAGTTTCTTTATCATTGGAAGAGAGTAATTGAAGTTCTTCAATTAAACTTTTTGAAGATAAAGTTTTTGGTTAAATAACCAAAAAAAATATATATCCTTGATTTTTGCTTTTAAAAAAATATTATATTTTCAAAAGTTTCAATACTACCTTTGAACTTTTATAAACATTTAAAAAATATTCTTTGTGTAAAAATATATGTTAATATATTGAACAGAGAAAGTTGACGTGATAATTAATATAGAAGTTTACCTAGATTAAGTCAGAAAAAGAAGAAATGCAGAAGAAATTATTGTTTTCAAAATCTCTCAATCCATCATTCTCTTCACGATTCTTCATTCTCAACTTTTTTATAGTTTTTAAAAAATATAGCTTCTTCAACATTTTCAGACTTAATCTAGATAAATTTCCATATTAATTGCCACGTCATTCTAGATTCTAGCACGTCAACTTTTTGTTTAAATATCAACTAATGTTTGTTAAAAAACGCATCTTTCAAACGTTTACGAAAGTATTGAAATTTTTAGAATAGTAGAGGTATTTTTAAAACAATTAATAAAGTTGAGGAGTATTTTTAATAATTTAGCTTAAAAGTTTTAATGATATTGTTAAAAGGTCAAAGGCGCCTACATACTTCCTTTCACGACTCTTTCACCACAATATTAATATCTTAATCAACTTAGTACAAGCTTAAAATTAAAACAAATAAACATTGCATTAAATAGAAAAAATATCACTAAGGGGCTACATATGAAGAGTAGTGACCACGCATCATCATCACAATCCACAAAGGAAAATAATTGTCCAAAAGAACATAGAAACGATCAGAAATGGTGCATGACATCCTTATTCACAATTGGAACAGAAATAATTGCCTCCAAAGTTGCTTTTATATTCTCCACCATGACAGATAAGGAAAGATTAGGCAAATTTCCTAAATCATGCTGGTCACAAATCTTAATATAATTAAGACCAATACCATCCCCATATTCCAAAATGGTGTTTGACCTATTGCCACTGCACCTTCGTCGTTGCCCACCTATTGCTCCGTCTTCCTTACCATTGGACCATGGAAGTTCTCTGATCCAAGATGAAACAGAGATAAAGAGTCATCCCAAGAGATTGCAGGTGGGTGTCATCTCCAATTCTGTGCCTGATAACTCTTCAAAATGTCGAAATGACTAAGCCACAGACCATACATAACAACGTTGGTTTTGATTTTGCCAACCACAACAACATGGTCAACATCTAACGGGGAGATCCCCAATACCCGACCACCATCCACCATCACAGAAACCAGTGGAGAAGAAAGATCATCCCCGAACATCGCTTCCACAGCAGCAAAAGAGGTCTCTATTATATTTAGATTCATACCAGTTACTTCTAGAAAAAAAAAACCACGGAAGAATCTGAACAAAGCAGAGAAAAAACACCCTCTAATAAAACTCAATCAGAAGACTGAGAGAAAGCATACACTTTTCACAAGGAGGAGAAAGAGAGGAGGCGAGTAGGTCGCTAGTCACCCACTCCCCACTTCTTTTAGAGAGGATTGGGCGTGTGAGACAGAGCTTGGGGGGAGGAAGAAAGCACGTTCCTTATCTTCTAATTTGGTTTTAGAAGACGAATGAAAAAATTCAAAATAATCGACTTGTAATACTTAATAACTACCCTACATCAATAGCCTCCTAGTAAATTTAACATATATGGTTACTAAAACTTTGGAACACGTTACCTTATATATATATTTTTTCCATAAATAGTGAGGTTAAAGTATCGAAAATTACTTTTAATAGATTTTTTTTGTGATTAGTTTATGTCGGGACAACTTCTGTCTCTTTGTGGACGATATTGTCCATTTTGAGTATAAACATTATTTTTAAACTCACTTAAAAGACCTAATAGATAGTCGTTTATATTTATATACCCAAAAGTAGATATTCGTTTATATTTATATACCAATGATTTTTCTACTGTCTAAGTTGATATCAAACTTTGTTTCCCTTTCCATCTATTTCAAACAAGTATTTTTTTTAATTTTTTTTTAAAGTTCTTGTGGTATTTGATTAAAATCAAATTAATTATGGGCATGGGGAAGTAAAATGTATAGGGTTCATAAATGAATTTTACCAACTTGTTCTAAAAAGAAAATAATAATAATAATAATTAAAAAAGAAATGTTGGCGAGAGGAAACGTGAAAAAGTCCCCATACGCCACCCCATCGTACCAAGGGAGAGATTTTAAATGCTTCAATTAATATTTGATTGTATTGGTTTAAATGCTACGTTCTCCAACATTTCTTTATATTGTCTCCCACTTTTCAACTTCCTTTCCTAAATCCTTCAAATTTAAATATTGTGTTCTAATTCCAAAATTGTATTTTTTTTTTTTAATAAAAGCTACGGAGTAAGTTTGGAATGACTTTTGAAAAACTTTTATAGGTAGATAATTTAGAGTGATTTTAAAAATTTTAAATATACTAAAGTATTTTGAAGAGAGACACTTAATTAGAGCTTCTCCCGAAGTATGTGTGGAGAAGTGCTAAACGTTATCCTTAACTAATCACCATCAGTCCTTATACTTAATTTTTCATTAGTCATTTAACAAAACTTCAAACTCATTTGGAAATTCTAGATCTAATATACTATACATGTAAATTGAAATGTTTGTTCACGTTGAGTAAAAGTTTCAATAATGTCTACAAGGCTTGGTAAATCCTCATAAATCGTCTATCATTATAACATGTTATCATATTGAATATAAAGACACGTTTTCTATTTGATTGATTGTGTTAGCTTACTGTATTGAGATTTAGAAGATAAGTAAAAAGAAAAAAAAAAAGAGTAAAATGAGTGGAGTCTCAATTGGGTATATAGAAACAATTTGTGAGCTTTTACCAAAATATAAGGACAAAATTAGAACTTCTAAAATCATAGAAAATGAATTGAAATAACTAAGCTCGAGTCGTAGTACTGAATTGAAACTTTTAAAACTAAATAGACAAAATTATAATTAAGTTCAAACTATAAGAACCAAATGTAGTATATCACAACACAGTTTTAGCAACTTAGAAATAAGGTTATTGTTGCAAAGATCATAACTCAACTTGTTAAAAATATTACACATATCCTATAAAAGTTAGAAATTTAAATCCTGGATCCACGTTTCTTTTAGCTCAGAAAAGGGAAAAAAAAATCATGTCAAGAATCAAATTTAGAGTTGAATATAATGAAGGGTTAAAAACAAAAAATTTAAATACCCAAAAGTTCACAAACAAAAGTGAGACTTTGGGAAGTCTAGGAAATAAAATATAAAATCCATAAAAACGCAGGAATTAAAACCATAGTCAAATATTAATTTCATTTTTTAAAAGAAAATTACCTATTAATATTTACCCCAATGAGCATAATTCAACATGTTATTAAGACATGTATGATCGCCCACAAGGTTGAAAATTTTAATATGTGGTTGAATCGTGTGTATATATATATAATTAAAAAAAGAAGGAAAAAGGGAAAAAAATATCCGCTCTTCTAGTGAAATTAATATTCTCTAATTATTTAAGCTTTTTTTTTTAATGAAAATTTATTGTTAGGTTATGGATACTTTTGTGATTGGACAATTTTTTCCTAAAATTATATATTTTGACTAGATTATTGGATCTTATATTTTTTTAAAAAAAGTTGTAAGAAAATTGATCCCACAAAATAATTGTTTCATCGTATAATAGGATTTTATCCTTCATAGGTAGTCAATATATATACGGAGAAAATTTATAGTACTATAGAAATACATACTCCTTCCGTTCACAATTTAACAAATCATTACTTTTGTTTCACGGAACTCCTACCATTCTTAAATATTATTATTGTGAAAAACAATGAATAAAAATAGTATATAAAATTTTCCGAATATTACTAGAGATTTTACCTTGAAATAGAAAAGAAAAAATATAGAAAATAGAAAAAGAAAAAAAAAAGAAATTTAGGACACTAGTAATAATGATATATATTGGTCAATGTGCTTCAGTAGTTGGAGATTGTACGAATTTTTTATCGTTAGGAAAGTAAGTTCAAATTTGATAGTAAGGGAAAGATCTCTAGTACTATGGTACAATGGTAGTAAGTTGTGTTTGTGCAACGAAATCGATATATGTTGAAATTGGTTAAAGGAAACAATTGGAACAAGCTTGAATGTCACTTGGAAAAACTTTCGATGCTTAAATCAATTTAAGTTTGACTTTAGTATAAAGATCGAACTAAAATGCGACACTCGATGTGAGAGTGAAGTGCTCTGTTTATAGGTTGGGATCTGACAAGCTATTCGACCGACAGTTACTGATGTCCTTCTGACCTGTCGAGTACATAAATTTGGAGATGGGTAAGACCTTGAGCCATATAAGATTGACCCTTCCTTGACTGGTCAAACTAGTTTTCAACCCGCAGTACTTGGGTGTAATAGAAAATTGCATCGAAGTTTTATCCTTAAAAAAGAAATTAGAAGTACACGTTCCAAAATGGATCAAATGAATCAAAATGGAAAGCAAAAAATAGTATTTAAATTTTAAATTTATATTGGAAGTAAAATTTGTTTGAAAAGGAAGGGAAGAAAATTGGAGACACTTGTCATTAGGTTATTGGTCCATGTGTCCGGGCATTAGAGGGAAGCTTTTATTCTTGTAAGTCTCCTTTTCTCATATAATGAGTCCATTAATGATGTTAATTGGACGATATAATTTTTGTGACTGTTTTTCATAGCTATGTACTTTCTGAAAATTTTCCTTCTTTTTCTAATTCAATTATTCCCTTATCTACTAAACTATGTTTAAATCGACATATCATTATAAGATTTTATTTTTCTAAGTCCAACATGTAGTGATTGGAATCCAAACTTCAATATTTTGATTAGAGATGAATTAAACAATATTTGAATTGAATAAATTATAAATGTTTTATTTATTGATTATGAGTTGATAAATTAAATGGAAAGTTTTAATATTAAAATTATCTGGTATACAGGTAAAAATGAATGTTTCTTTTTTTAAACACTCTAAATATGAATACTATTGCCCTTTTTTTTTTCTCAAAAGAGGGAAAAAAGGGGGGTTTTAATTGAAACAATGGGCACCGTCACCGACGTGGGAATTTTAGAGGGAAAGGGACAAAAATGTCATCATATATTTCCCTCCATTTCAAGATTTCCTCTTATCTTCTTGTCTCCATGTTTTGGATCAGGAGGTTGAATTTTGGATAAGTACGTCTTTTGGGAATCAATACCCTCAAAATTACTATTATGCCCTTATACCCTCTAAAATTATTCCTCTAAATATTTGTTTGGTCCCAATTTTTTACGTATTTTTCAATTTAACCCTTACATTCTAGAACTTTTTTTAAAAAATTCATTTCTATTTTAAAATTGATTGATGATAAACTTATATGATATGATGCCATGTAAATTGTCGTTAACGAATCTCCTCCTAAATTTCTATCAACTCCCAATTTTATATTTCATCAAAAAAGTATAGTATAAATTAAAATTATTGACGGAAGGGATACAATAAAATATATATATATATATAATAAAACAAATATTTAAAATAGCACTCAAATATTAGAGCTAAATACTATACATTAAACCTCAAAATTATATCACATGTTTGTATCCTCTTACAAAAAGAAATGTCCATGATTATGTATTTGAAAGAAAAAATGTTCATGATTTCGATGGGAATCCCCCTTTACAAAAGCAAGACACATAAAATTGACCATATATGAAAAAGATTGGTCTTGGGAAAATGTAAAAGAAAATAATATACTATTTTCTTGTAAAAAGCATATTATCTTTTTCTAGCCTCAAATTTTGACTAAAAAAATACATCAAAATTCACTTCTTGGGGACAAAAAGTTGGAATCTCAATCTTTATGTGTGAAAATTAAAATATTCCCGGGAGATTGTTATATCTATGATTAAAAAATATATAATTTTAAATATAAAAACATCAAATTTTCAAATACAAATTTTTACACCCTTTTGCTTCTAGTTTTCTATTTTTAAACATTAAATTTGTTTTTGCACAATTTCAATAGTAAATTGTTGATTTCAAAAACATATTTGAATTTCTAGTCAAATTTTAAAAACAAAAACAAGTTTTGATTTTTTTCCCCGTCAAAATTTAACTTAGATTTTGAAAATATTTATAAGACGTATATAAGAAGACTAAGAAACACTTAGGTGAAAGCAATGTTTTTAAGTTTTATTTTTAAAAACATAAAACAAAAAACAAAATGGTTATCTCTCTTAGTTACTACGTTTACGGTTTTACTTTTCTTTTCTAATAAAAATCACATAAAAAAAATATAGAGTTAGAATTCGATCCCACGACCTCTTAAAAGGAGTAACACCTTAACAGTTGAGCTATGCTGACATGTCATTGTCAACTCTTAGTTTCAACTTAATCGGTATTCTAAATTTAAAAATTTTCATTATTTTTCCCTTGTCGTTTTATTAAAATTTACTGCATGTTTTTACCATTCATTAGCAAGAATTAATTAAGGTTATGGTATAACAAGTAACCTGTGGTCAACATTTAGAGTCACAAAATTCAACATAGTAC